TAATGATGAACTGCAAGCACATGAAATATAAACCTATTTATCTATGTGATCTTTTGGAAGAAAGATATTTTACATGTCCAATATTTTCCTGTTTAACAGATTTAAGATCTACACCCTTTCAAATGTATTTCAAGCTCAGTTAGATTGACTGAGGTGTTTACATGAAGGCTTTTCAGTTTGATTGAGGTATCGATCTGATTATCAAGAGATTATGAGGCTGCATGTAAACATATCCAGTAAAGTAATGACTATGAAGTTGCAGGCAGCAGTGTCTCTCGCTGTCAGGCTGGTGTAGGATGTAGTTTGAAGTATAGTCGCTAAGCAACACAAAAGGTGGGAGTGGGATACAAGCTGGACCCGGAGCAGAAACTGATGCAACTTCTAGTGATCCACCCCTGTGGGAGCAAAGAATACAAACTAAATGTTAGTGGAGTGATTTTATCTTGTGTAGCACAGAGCAGAACATTGCCACTATGGTTATTCCAATGCAAAAAAAAGGCTTTTCTAATGTTTATTGATTCTGAAATTCTAGATATTTTAGATTTTGATATCCTATTAATAGGCCTGGAGTTAGCAAGCTTAATGACTTGCTTGCTTACTTCTCTCTGCTCCGTTTGGTGTCTGCACCACTTCGTTCTGTCTAACGCAGTCCTGGGGGCCGTCTGGAGAGTAAGCCCTTTTCTTTTTCAGCTCTTTCTCAACTGTTCTTCGCCATGTTTCTTTCAGTCGCCCGCAGTTTATTTTTCCTTGTAGTGTCCATTTCAGGGCTGTTCTGGGTAGTGAGTCGGCTGGCATGCGTCAGTCATGACCAAGCCACCTCCATCGGCGTGACAGAACTGACTCTCGCACTGACTCAAGTCCTGTCCCTGATGTAATTGTTGGAGATGTTGTTCGGCCAGAAGACTCTGAGAATCCATCTTAGGCACTTGTTCTGAAAGACCTCCAGCTTTCTCTCGATGGCTACTGTCACCTTCCAGCATTCTGAGCCATAGAGAAGAACACTCGGGACATTTCTCTTGTAGATCCTGATCTTGGTGTGAAAGTTCAGGTTGGTGGATCTCCAGACTGATTTGAGCATGGCGAATGCCTGGTTTGCCTTACTGATTCTGACATTCACTTCAACATCGCAGTCACCATCTGCTGTCATGTTGCTGCCCTGGTAGACAAACTCCTGCACATCCTACAAAGGTGCTCCATCTATGTTGACAGGAGTACTGACTGTGGCATTCTTCCTCATGATGAGTCTTCTTGCTGTTGACGTTTAGCCCGATGGTACTGGCTATTTCACCAAATTTTTCTGTCTTCTGCTGAATGTCCTGGTGCTTGTGAGATAGCAGACCAAGGTCATCGACGTAGTCCACTTCCTCCAGAAGTGAGGTCAGGGTCCACTGGATGCCTTGGCGCTTTCCTTGGGTGATGCTACGCATCAGCCAGTCAGTGGCTAGGGAGAATAGGATTGGAGATAGGATGCAGCCTTGCCTCACTCCGGTTTCCACCGGAAAAGGTTCTGTCAGCTCACTATTGTAGATGACACGACACGCAAAGCTCTTGTATAGTGACTGGATGACGTTGACCAGTTTCTTTGGAATGCCATAGTGTCGTAGAATCTTCCAGAGTGATGCACAATGCAGACTGCAAAAGGCCTTCTCAAAGTTGATGAACACGAGGTATAATGGGCTGTTCCAGGATCTGGCGTAGAATGAAGATGTGGTCAATGTATGACCATCCTTTCCTGAAACCAGCCTGTTCTTGCAGAAGGATGTCGTCCACCGCTGCTATGATATGGCTGAAGATCTTGCTGGTGAGAGAGAGTAGGGTGATGCCTCACCAATTGTTGCAGTCCCCAAGATCCCCCTTCATGGGCAGCTTGACGATGATGCCACTTTTCCAGGTCTCTGGGGCTGTCTCTTTCTCCCAAATGTCCTGTAGGATGCGCTGAAGGATCTGTGGCATCTTCACTGCTTGAAGTGAAAAAAAAAAGAAAAAAAAAAAAAAGCGTCGGGACT